CGGCCTTCCTCCCGACAGTAGGAGAAAAGTGAACCTAAAGGCAGTCATCTGCGTTACTGTGTAGGCTATTACTTATGTCACAGAACTGCTGTAACTTCAAATTCCTTAATGGCGAGTGAATCCTCCAGTGAGTGGAGGTGGGGTTTTGGCAGAGAAGTTATAATATAGCAGCTTATATCTAACCTGGCTCCATCATAAACCTCTACCACTCAGTCTCAAGGAATGCTGCTTCTTTTAGAAGCTATAACAAGTTGCTGCCACTAGAAGGAGAGGTAGCAAATTGATTGTACATAAGATTTTTGAAAAAAATTTGCACAAGTATTCTGAGCTCCTTATGACTCACATTAACCCACCAGGTATAGCTAAGCTCTGCTGCTGTAGAAATGACTTCCACCTGTCTTTATGAATGAAATAAGGTAACGTCAAATGATATTCCATATCAGTGGTGTGATGAGCTTATTCACCTGATAGCCCAGGCTGGATGAGCTTTACGAGTAACATCCTTCTCAAGAATGTGGGTGTGAAGCATGAAAGTAGTTAAGAAAGGCACATCCAATGAGAAACTTTCAATTCCAGCAGGCAAACAGGATGATTTTCTTTTTTTAAATCAGATTTTTTAATAAAATCAGACTTTTGCTAAGTATCATTCAATTAATTTATAAACAAAGTCACACGAGCAGTCAATAGCCAGTCAATCTGTTATTTCATAGCATGGAATAGAATTGCCGTGTCTTAAATGGGATCATTCTGGAAAACTTTAATCAATATAAGCATCATAGTTGGTGTCATGGTTTGAGATAGCCCCAAAATCCAATCTCACATTAGGTTGAGATGGAGAAGGGGGCTAGGACTAGGGAATTGGATTTTGGGGCTATCTCAAACCATGACAGTTGGTTTTGTTTGTTTGTCTTGTTCATTATTCTAACATCTCATGCAAGGAAAATTCAGCCTTGGCAAATAAAATATTAAAAAAATTTAGCTGCACCAGAAGGCCTGCAGCATTGAAGTATTGCAGTATTGACCTAGAGGTCATTTCATTGAGGGTGAATTTGAATATTTGACATCTAGTGTTTAGACTGATTATAGCAATATTGGGTTTCTTAATGTTTGTGCCGTTCCAGGCTGAAATCTTAACTTCACTACAGTGCTTGGGAAAAAAATGTGTGTCAGTAACATTCATACATTGCAGGCATCTTTGCCGCCTGGAAGCTGTGAGCATATCCCTGTGGAAGAACAGGCTTGCCCACAGACAAAACTGACTCGCTGGCTGACAAAACAGAGTGTGGCAGCACCGGTGTTAATCCCACAAAATTGATCTAAATTGTTTTGAACTTCTCTGCCTGTAGCCTGGCCAAAGCGTCCAGGTGCAGATAGAGAAAGACATAAAGTAGATGAGAATGTCACGATCATTAATATAGGCTCCTCAAAAAGCAGTGTGCCCTCATGGCTACATCAAAATGAGGGTGAATGTCCTTCATTTGAAATTGTGTGAGCAGAGCCAGTTGTTGGGTGTACTCTGGTAAAATGTGTAATGGTAACACAGAGGAAAGCCCTCTTTTTCCTTCTACCTCTTGTGCTATTGTTAAAGGCTGCTATAAAGTGCTTTGAGTAAAAGAAATTGTTCCATCTCATATCCAGATTCTTTCTAGATGTGTCTGTTTGCTAATTCTCAGACTGAGTTTTAAAATTAAGCCAAAAATTCTGTGAATTGTCCATAGGTTTCAAAGGGATAAATACCTTTGCAGATCTGCATATGAAATTAGGTCCAGTTATACTGAGAAAATTGGTTCTTTCTCTGTCTCAGTCGAAGATATTCCTTGAGAAGGACTGCCATGTAAAGCCTTTCATTTCCTATCAATATGCTGGAGTAGCACTAATTATTATACAGTGTACACTATTATGTGGTAGATGTTAGCTTCATGAAAAGATGATCGTATAATATTAGCAGTAGATCATCTGTTATATTCTTACCTACTAAACACATTCTCTCTGCAACACATAACAGATCTTCTATCCATTTCAGACATGGCAGAAATTCAAAGATGAAAAAAGTGATCCCAGACGGTGTTATAAGGGATAGCATCCTGAGATATTTATTCTTCACTGTCAAGGAGTTAGACTAGATGATCTAATAGGCAATTTCCATCCATAATGTCTGTGATTCTTCTAGTTGAAAGGCAGCTGGGGATGCAGAAGTTATAATTTCTATTTATTATTTAGCTCTGCTTTATTTCTTCACAGTGTTTGCATTGTTGTTGCTATGAAATAGTATTGGGTAAAATTATTAGTCTCAATGTTATTTATTAAATTAAGGGCATTTTCTCAAATGTGCACAAGTATTTCTCTGTGAAGAGTATCCCTGTTTGCATGAACTGAGGAGCAGAATGGTCTCAGGTTAAGCTGCCAGTGGTACTGAGCTCAGGCACTTCATCCTCACCTGGTCCCATCTGGATCATCTTGAGCTGTTGCAGGGCAGCTTGTTTTGTCTCCAGCTGTCAGTCATCCTGCCCTGTATACCCAAAGAGTCCCCTCCAGGGGATTCTGCATCATCCTCTCTTGATACCAAATCTGGTGCTAGTCATGGGGATCTACAAGGAGTTGGTGCTTTTATCTAAACTACAAACATGTGGAATTGGGAAGCTGGTGTTCATGAAGAAAAAATACATTTTTATCTCATATTCTTGCAGAGAAAAAATGAGTGCGCCCTAAGTATTCAGAAGCCAGAGAGTAAAACTATATTTTTTCCTGATTATATTATCAGAAAGACCGAAATTAACCCCCCAAAGATTATTTTTTTTTTATATTTTCAGATGATTGCTTATTTTGAGATTCTGCTTTCCATTTCTGATTTCTGTCTGTTCCCTTTGGTTCCATTCTCCAGCTATTGGGAATGGGAAAGGGAGGGATCCTGGCTGTGCAGGACCTGCTAGGAGGCCTTCCTCCTTTCTGCATCATCAGAAAATTGTTGGATGCCAAAGGAGCCTTCCTTTTCTTTTTGCATTCTGCTTTTCCCTAGCTGCATCAATTTCAATGCTTATCTCTCCACTCCTGACACTTAGGAATGTTGATAAGTGTTTGTCTTCAGCTGGAGCCTTGATTCTTTGTTTAAAACCACTTTAATTCAATATTTTGGCGACCAGGACAGGGAGAGAAAGTTTTTCACTGCTTACATGATCATGGGATAAATATTTTTAAAAACCATTCTAAAAATGACTGTTTTGCCATTTATCTTCTTTTGGATGGGCCAGATGCACACCTGCTCATGTGTGCTTCGAGATCTGTAATCGCCTATGCACAAAGACTTGACTAAAATTGGTTTTGAAATATGAAAACACAAAAAGTTTTTCATTAATGAATGATCACCAGCAGTGGAACTGGCAATTGAAGTCTTACGCATCTGCTGAGTTTGTGACTGAACTCTTCAAATTTGAAGCATTTATAACTTTCAGCTTCAAAGTGCTGATTTGGCTTGGATCCATGGTATCCTGCCTCTCCTGTATGCAGAGGTGCAGATTCCTCTAAGAAGGCCTTTGCAACTCCCCAGGGCACAGTAGGCTGGAGGAGCCTCCTGACCAGACAGACTTACTTGAAGAAATTCTGATAGAAACAAAGTGATTTCTAACTGACCCTGTTATGCTCTTTGGTGCTTCAACTTCCATGTTTCAAATTTTAAGCACTCAAGTTTTTAACAGCATGATTGCTGAAGCTCTTTTGATGCTCAGCTAGGAATCATTTAGCTTTTACAAGGAAAAAACTTTGAAAATTTGTTAGGGTTAAGGAGGAATTGTCTGTTTACTGGGCTGCTCTCTTGGCTCTGGACCTCCCTGTTCCGTAGAGTCTCTTTCTTCCCTGATCTTGGCTAGATATTCTTAGGATGCAGAAGGAATGGGATGGAGAATTCGAAACTGCATTTATGTAAATTTAGATTGAGTCATCTGGGATACTGTGTGGAGTTCTGTCACCTCAGGGTGGGGTTTGTCTGTCCTCACTTGAACATTAAAAGATGTTGAAGTCTAAAGCAATCACTCAATGTCTTTTCTAGACAAAAGAAAGAAATGGGTATTTATAAAGACTGAGTCCTCAGGCGTGTATTAGATGCCAGCTGTAGGATGAAATGAATCACTTTGGGTGCCTACAGTTGGGCAGATGAACGCTACCATTTATTTCCGAAGGTGTTGCAATCAAGTGAAAGACATTTCACAGGCAACAGAAAATGGCTAGGGAATAGGCTAAAGTCTCTGTCCTCTAAGAAGATTGGAAAGCTTATGTTTGATTGCCTTAGGAAAGACATTTATAACAAGGGATGCAATTAAAGTGGAAGATCTTTTCCTTTGTCTGCAAAACTGAGGCAATGAATCTGCAAGAAGGGAAAATTGAACTAAGAAAAAGAAAAAAAAATGTACACAATGTTTAAACTAAAATCCATTTTCAGAGGAAATTGTCTGAGTTAAAAAAAAATAAAAATTTAGGAATATTCCAAGTTCATTTAGACAAATATCTTCATAAATATTTTCTCCAGTTAGTCACAGAAGTGGTTTTGAGGAGTTATTACTCCTCTGTCTTCAGGACTTGAACTGGTTTTGCACTACTGGAAAGCAAGGTGAGATCTAGAAAGAAAGGCAGGTTTTTTAGGAGTGCATCTTGTAAACTGTGGCAGCTGGTGGAGTGACAGTGGCTGTCATGGCAGGGCTGCCACCGTCAGGATTGCTGTCAACAGGAGGTGTATGGTTAAAATCTGTCTTTTACTTCCCTGAGTGGCAGAACTACACTTCTTGGAGAGCTGATGTGTGTCATGCTTCCAGGAGAAGGTTTAGCTATTTTACCTCCATCCAGTGGAAATATTTTCCTGCTCATTCTCTCTCTTGTGGGCAATGCATTGTCAGTAATGGAAGAAGTAATACACCAAACTGCCCTTGTAAGCAGCTGTAAGTAGGTGTCGTATCTCTTCTCGCTGTTTTGTTTAGTCATGGCCCTGGTTACAGAATTACATCTACAGCAAAATGACATTCATCAGTGATGAAATATGGCAAACTGAGAAGGTGAGAATAGTGGCTTTTTAACTGTGCACAGCAACATGCCATAGTAATTCATGTCAGAGACAAAAAAATTTGTGACTCCTCAGATCAGCTTTCATACTGGCTCTGAGCACATTACATAGAGCTCTGTTTATGACCCGTGTTTTAATAGTAAACCCTATTTTTGTCTGTACTTAATTTCCAAGATTTGATAGGAGTTGCCAGTGAAAAGGGGTGTGAGTTCATGGGGTTGTATGAAATTTTCAGACAACCGCTAGGCAGTCGATTTAGCTTTCAGAGGAGAAAGTTAACATGGGCCATGTTTTTTTTTTCCATTCAGCACTGCAGAAGAAGGGGGATTTGCTGATGAAATAAGCTCAGGACTAGGAAATTGCTTGTACAGTTAAATCATGAGGTACTCAAAACCATTTCTTCCTGGGTAAGGGGTGCAGCATCTGTGTGTCAGAAATGAGAAAGGCAAAAACAGTCCATTGCTCAGGTGCTGTAAGCTGCAAAACTTCCTGAGAAAACAAAAAGCTGTTTTCCTTCCTTTCTGCTGTCATACCAAGCATTGCTGCCTTCCATATTGCTGCAAAAGCACTTTGGGAGAACCAGAAGGGAGCTTTAATTTAGCAGTCGAACATTTTTATTATTCCTTATTTCATGTCAGAGGAGTCGCTGATGGAGTACTAATGTTTTGTGTGTAGGGAGTGGGGCTGAGGGAGATGCTGTATGGAGATGGGAGAAGGCAGCTCACTGGTCTTCTTTGCTTAAAGCTATTTTGCTTTGCTTTGTTGCTGGTGTGGGAAAATACATGTTTTCTGTGTGTGAAGAGTGGATTTTTCTGCCTGCTGAGCACAAGAAAGCTTCTGAATCGCTGTGAGAACATGCCATGAAATACATGTGTAGCCCATTAGGCCTAAAGACTTCAACACCTGCTGTACCCCTGAGAAGGGGATAATTTTTTGATGTGTGATAGTTTCATTCCTGTGGTGCTTCCATTGTGTTTTACAAGAGAACACGTAACTTTTAAAGCCTTTTGGCACAGGTAACTGAGCTCCCACAGAGAAGTAAAGTAATTATCTGCTACAGAGTTAACAAGAAAAACCTCTTTCAAGGTTTGCATCTATTTTGAGCTTGTTTTTGTTCACAGAATCATAGAATAGCTTGAGTTGGAAGGGTGCTTTAAAGGTAGTCTAGTCCAGCCTCCCTGGAATGAGCAGGGACATCTTCAGATAGATCAGGTTGCTCAGAGCCCCATCCAACTTGACATTGAATGTTTCCAGGGATGGGTCATCTACTACCTCTCTGGGCAACCTGTTGCAGTGTTTTGCCAGCCTCATTATAAAAATCTTCTTTCTTATATCTAGTTAAAATCTACCTTCTTCTAGTTTCCAACCATTACCCCTTGTCCTATCACAACAGACACTGCCAAAATTTTGTCGCCATATTTCTTATAAGCCCTCTTATGCACTTGTTAAGTGCATGCATTTCCATACACTTGAATTCAGAAAGATAGACAATTTCTTATAGTTTGGTATTAGAAAAGAAGTTTTTGCAGTTGTACAAACCTAACATAGCCTGGCGTACACATTTTTCTTCATGCCGTTGTCAGAAAGATACCTCCTTCTGCAAACTCATGAGTAAGAGTAGGTAGAAAGCTCAGCTCTTGAACTGCTGAATCTGTAGGTCACTAAACAAAATTTGAGACTTTCAAAGATGATTTTAGTTTATAAATCTCTCAGATTTCATACAAAATAGTCATTTTGGAAGAATAATGTTTTGCCAAAAGTGACTTGGAAAATTCAAAAGAGAATGGCATAGATATCACATTTGCTTTATTTTCCCGAAGGTCTCTCATGAATTCATTCAAAATAATAATACCCTTAGCAACAGTAGTAATTCAGAAAATAAACATATATATGCACATAAGTATTTTGGTGAACATTGTAGCATTAATAATACAAATAAAAACATTAATTCACATATGTAGTTTGGTGAACATCTATTAAAATGAAATAGCATAGAAATGCTTGAAGGATGTCATGATTTTCTTTTGATGAACTTGACTTTCCTGATAATTTGAAAGATGACTGAAGAGTCATAGCTTGTCAGGAAAGTAAGCCATAATAAATTGCATCTTTTAATATTCTTTATTACAAAATGCCCCAGGGAGCATATAGAGTTTAAAAACTCAGTGTCTTTTCCTGGTGATACTTTCATCACAAAATAATAGCATTTTCTGGCAGACTATTTCAAATTATTTTCAATTAGTAAGATAATTGGTGGGTGATAGTTTTTGAGAGCTGATAGTGAAGTGGTTCCTTTGTTACGTGCAGCTAGTCATAAGCAGTATTAATTATGTCACATTGTAAAATTCATTCCTGTTTAAATGAAGTAACACACAAGGAATGAATAATAATATTTCATATCCATTGTTGTGTTGGGTGTATGGCAGGTAGAAGATGAAGAGGAGTAAAACTGGAGAAAAATAGTGTGTTAAAAGATCTGTTAGTTGAATTGTGCTATACTTCCTTAATCTCACAATACTTTAAATTATTCTTTCCTAGCCTCAGACTATTCGGCAAACTCTTCAAAAGACACTGCAGTATTTTGAACATCAAGTTATTGGGTAAGTGTTAATGTGACGTAGTGAAAGGTGCATGGTAACGTTTTGTTCTGTGCCTCCCAAGTCACAGCCTTTTATGATAAGATTTTAATTTTATTTTTTCTCTCAAATTCTTAGAGGTGCTTTGAAGTAGCAACACATAGTCTGGACATTAATGATAAACATCTATTCGGTCCTGCTTCTGTACAATCCCGTCAGAAGGTGACTGCTTAATGAACTGTAATGTTTCTTAAACAAGGAGAATAGACAATCTTTTTCAATCATAGAATAATAGAATACCAGATTAGAAAGGGACCTTAAGGATCATCTAGTGCAACCTTTCTTGGTAAAAGCATGGTCTAGACAAGATAGCTCAGCCCTCTGTCCAGCTGAATCTTAAAAGTGTCCATCACTGAGAGGTTTAAACCTTTTGTAATCACTTCTGAAAGACATTTGTTGACTTTGCATTTGTATAAGCAGATGTTATAACTTTATTACCTTTTTTTTTTCCTGTAGTTACAGGGATGCAGAGAAGAATTTTCACAATATATCAAACAGATGCTCCTATACAGACTGCTCTGGTAATGAAGAAACTGAGGATGTCTCAGGAATTCTCCAGTGTACGGCTAATGTACTTGGTACGTATTTTTTCAAGGGAATTTGTTTCCTTTCACTGAAAGGAAAGTTTACCACCTGTCGTAATGGCAACAATGAAACAAGAAATTTTTGGTCCGACAAAGGAAATTTAGGATGTGGGCAGCTACATACCAGTGCCCTGGTATTTTTCTCCTTTTCTACCTACATTTTGAGCCTTTAAGACAATTCAGACTGATTTTCAGTGGAGCCAGTGAACGTGTATTGTGCAATACCTTTAATAGTGATTAAAGAAGTTTCAAAGGCTTTCAGTGCAAATAGACTTACTTCTGGACAGGCCTTGGAATTATCTTCAGTGTTTTTATAGGGATTCTGCAGAACAACAGATACTTTTATCATCTGTGAGTCTGGTGGAGAGAGGGCCTGAGAAACACAGAGTAGCATGTACTTGAGACATAAAATGTTCTGGAATCTTAGAGAGATTTTCATCAGCAAGAAGCGCAACACTGAAATCTGGCCATGTATGATAATTTAAGATATAATTTAACTGCCATGTCAGGGAATATGGTAAGGTGATACTCTACTCACATTCTGGTCTGGGCCATTGTATCCTTCTGACCTAAAATCCTTTTGGAGATATATGCATTGCATATCTGTCTATTCTATCACAAACTGTTAAACAGACAGTACGCTCTGTGAAACAGCAAATTTTCTAGCTGAGAGATGACTGTGTTTCACTGACATTCAAACTTCTTTTTTTTTGAATCAGGTGCCTTATTCTGCAAAATTCTAGGTGCTGTCAGGGATGTTCTGCATGCCTGTAACTGCTGCTCGGAAGAGATGGTACTTGGTATTTTGCGTGTTTGGTCATAGAGGGAATTTAGAACAAATTAAATTGTAAATGTGTCCAGGGTTAATTACCTTTTTCTATTTTAAAATAATGGAATGCTAATTTTCCAAAACAAAGGCTAAGAGTGATAAGGCAGGACTCATGCAAAGCAGAGAGTTTTCATGTTATCAGGTGCATATTAATATTATAAGAAACAAAACTAGACATTCAGTACCTATTTTATTATGACACGAAGTATGTGTTCTGAGAAACAGCTATGAATACTTTTTCATCTTTATAGTGCTTTAAAATCAATATATTAGTCCTAGTACCTTAGAATGGCTGAGTAACATGCAACCTGTTTCTACAGTGGTATCCTCACAGTGCATGTGCATTAGGGCAGATTGGATTTTTGGGATCAAAGTGTAGGGATAATGTTTGAGCATTACTGACTTGGAAATTATTAAATTTGACTTTGTTGAAAATTAGTTTGAAGACACTAATTCTTGGAAAAGCTCGCTTCTTGAAGAATGAATTTGACTTTTTAGCAAAAAAAATTCAATGTGAGCAAAACACTGAGATAATTTAAAAATAATACTTCTCCCTATCTAGGACGGGAACCTAAGGGAATGAGCAGTAAACCCAGCTTCTTTATTTTAATTGTAGCTCCTATCACAACAGGTAAATAATTAATGGAGGCTGCGTAATTAATTCTCACATATGCAGTTATTTTTCTGGTTGAATAAGGATTGGTGAGAGCTGACTCTATGAAAGAAGGATGTAACCACTGGGGTGTGTACCTAGAGCAATTGGCATTGCTGAGGCAGGAGGCAAGCATGAATCTGACTGTGATGAAGGCTAGAAAAACTGTTGAACCAAATCTGGCTCTTAGTTTCTTTATATGAGCAGTAAGAAGCACTTACTGTCTAGTGCTGGAAGAATGTTTTCATAAAGATGGTTGGAAGCAGATTCTACTCTCTGACCTTAGATAATGCCAACATGATTCACCTCTCCTGACCCTCTAACCAGCTCTGAAACAGTCATTTGGCATTCCTTATTCATCAGAAGACTGCAAGTGCTGAGATCATTAGTCAAGTTGGAAGACTGTGAACAGATGCTTCACACTGGTCCTGGTGCTTACACTGCTTGCAGGAAAGTACTGACTACAAGCTGTACACTCAACTTGGTGCATGTGATTTATCATGTATGAATACTGCAATTTTCCTCTTACCAAGTCATGACTAAATTGTGTCACCTTCTTCCTGCAGTGGAAGGATTCTCCATGTTTCTTTGCTGAGTTGCTCCTGCTACAAGTCTAGACATCAACAGAACTCTTCCTGCTTTAATCCACTGTAATTAAAGGGAGCCATGTCCATCATGTTCACGTGCTGTGAACCATGTCTGACACCAGATCAATCACACAGCCTTCCTTTATGATCACAGCTCTGGAGGCTGGAATATTTAATTTAACTTTTCATCCTTTCAAAAGTAGTCCAGACAGCTTTATGAGGGACTCTGCTCTCTTTAATTGGTGCATGCACAGTTTTAGAGTGTCCTTCATAAGCATACAGAAACATAGAATCATAGAATCCTTTAGATTGAAAAAGACCTTTAAGATCATCAAATGCAACTGTTAACCTAGCACTGCCAAGTCCACTACTAAACCACGTGCCTGAGTGCCACATCTACATGTCTTTTAAGTACTTCCAGGTAGGGTGATTCAGCCACTTCTCTGGGCAGCCTGTTCCATTGCTTGACAACCCTTTCCATGATGAAATTTTCCCTAATATCCAATCTAAACCTCCCCTGGTGCAGCTTAAGGCCATTTCCTCTTGTCCTGTCACTTGTAACCTGGGAAAGGAGACCAAACCCCACCTGGCTACGACCTCCTTTCAAGTAGTTGTAGAGAGTGATAAGGTTCCCCCTGAGCCTCCTTTTCTGCAGGCTAAACAACCCCAACTCCCTCATCTGCTTCTCATTAGACTTGTGCTCCAGACCCTTCCTCAGCTTCACTGCCCTTCTCTGGACTTGCTCCAGCACCTCAGTGTCTTTCTTGTAGTGAAGGGCCCAAAACTGAACACAGGATTTGACATGTGGCCTCACTTGTGCCAAGTACTGATGGTCACTGCCCCAGTCCTATTATCCAAGGGAAAATCAATTGACAATACACTGGAAGTTGGCAAACAGAGAAAAGACAGCTTCTAAAGGGAGCCTTTAGAAAGTTTCTGGTTGGAAAATAAAGTATTTCAAACAAGATGCACTGGTATATTCTAGCCTGTTGACACAGATAAAGCTTTTAGCTGGCTAACCAAACTGTGTTCACAGCAGATTGATGGCGTTAGTTTGAACTTATTTTAGAAATAATGATAAGAAAAAGATTCCTGTGATGAAGTATGTTATGTAGATGACTACCACATTTCTCTATTAGGTAACTATAAATTTATACTGAGGTACGTTAGAGAGAAAAATTGTATCTGAAGAGATTTCTTATTTGACCTTGGGCAAGTTTTTATTCTTTCTATGCCTCGATTTCCCATCTGTATAATGGAGATAACAGGATTTTTTTAATCCTTTAAACTGTATGTCAGTGCTGTTCAGATTTTAACCTTCTTGAAGTAAAGACATGTTCATACCACTGGTACATTCAGCATTTTGAGCAATGACAGCAAATCTTATTTGGAACTGCTTTTGTCCTCATAATTTAAAATTATTTGATTTCAAGTAAGATTTGAGTGTGCATTTTTACTTAATTGTGGTCAGAATAAAGTAGAAAAACTTCATGTAGCTGCAAATTAAAACTTTGGCAACAGGAATATAAGGATGAAAACTTTTTTTCTTGGTCTGTGATTACTACTGTAAGGAATTTATTTTAGGACATGAAGTCTTCATGACCTGTTTCCTGTTTATTTTTTTGGCAGATATTCCAAGGTCTGTGCTACTGAGCTTTACAAAGAAGTAGTGAAATGCAGAGTTTCCATTTTTGAACCCCACTCTGTACTTCTGATGTATCACATGATATTTCTCATGTCACAGATGCACAAGCCAGATAAAAATTGTACAGTCTTCACCTCACCTCCTCCAAACGCTCTTTTCAGATGCTGCACGCAAATAATGTAACCTTTATGGACATAAATTATTTTTCACTCTTTAATCCTTCACAGAAAAAAAAAAAGGAAAAGTTTCATTACAGCGGTTACCTATCTTCTTTTTAACAGCATCTATATTTCCTTTGGACCCTCTTCGCATCTTTCTGAGGAACTCTGATCTGTCATAACTTTGATAGTAAAACTAATGAAAAGTAATCTAAATTCATAAATACTTATAAAAAGAGCTGTTGTACAGAATTTGCAAAGGAGAAGTAGCTGTTCATACCCAATCTTTAATGACATGGAATTGTTGTCTTTGAAAGCCCTTTTGTGTATTAGACTGCTATATCTAAATTGCATGTACTGCAGCACCGTGCTAGATATACTGTATAAATAACAGTTGCAACACCTTGGTCACACAACCCAAAATTACAAATGCACTTCTGTCAGATAGCTGTTTCAGCAGTGAGGCCTAGAGAAATAATCTTACCTGACTTGCCACTACTTAAGATACAAAAAACCATTCTCTTCCATTTTTTTAATTCAAAGAATTAATTTATACAACAGATTTCTTTTTCATCTCTTATAAAAATTTGGCTCCTAAATTTTACTACAATTACCTCATTTTCCTTAAAAAATGCATGGTATATGTCAATGGCTAGGTTAACTCTGCATGTGGTCTCAAGTATATTGCAAGAGTTTTTCCTGTTAGGCATTCTTAACTAATGGGTTAATAATACTCCTTCTCCTGTTTTTGCTTCTGAGAGTGGTGTGAGAACTTTGCTTGTCTGTCATTTCTAAGTGAGTATCTTTCTGGGCATCTTCTGTTTGGAGGATGATATGGCACAGCAGCAAGGATTCCCTAATCCCCTGGTGATAAGTTATGTGGAATCCCAGCCCAGAGTCCTGTCCCATCAGGGAGATAAATCATGTTTCTGGATTCAGCCTCCTCAAGCCGCTGAGGAGGAGGTGGAATCCATTGTTAGTGTAGGGTTATAGAGAATTCTTTCTCTGGGTGACATTTGCTTGTCACTACCAAAGAAAATATGTGCCACAGGCTGCTTTAAATAGGGCAGATCACTTCATGCCTAAATATATATTGCAGGGCTGTTCCTACATTTAATGCAAA